AAAGAAAGAAAGAAAGAAAGAAAGAAAGAAAGAAAGAAAGAAAGAAACCTCAGTACTGCTGATCCATAGCCGGCATCCTTGAGTTTTCTTATTCCTCCTACCTAAACTCTTCCATAAGCATCAGATCTCCATGTTGTAAGTTTTCTCACCCTATTCTGCTTCACTGGCTGTTCTTGTCAAAATAAGATACTCATTAGCTAATCACACCATTAAAACATACCAGGAAAAAAAAGAAGCAAAAATTTGCTGCTTTTAGCCAAGGCTACTTATTAGTTATTCCTTAACTAACAAAACCTTCAATTCCCATAGAACCACCTTGTAAAAAAAGAGAGAGAACAAAAGGCTGTATGATTTTTAACGTATTCTCACAATATGATGGAAAAGTATTTTTCTATTTTAAGTTATGAATACATGTTTTGAAAGCCCAGTTAAGATAATTAATACGTTAAAAAAAAGGCCAGGACTTCAGCTGCATAGCTGTAACTGCCATCAACTTTCTTTTTTCCTGCAGGAAAGTCTGCATTATATGTATTTATAGTGATCTGCAGGTTTTGTGTTATTACATGTGTTGCCAAATTATATATTAAGTCATTGTAGGCAGATCAGGAAAAAGCTATACACAAAAATTGTAGTGTTAATAATACAAATAGAGGTAGTATTTGGATCCACAAAGCCGGTATGATTTGTAAACTTCACAATGGCCATATGAAAGCCATTGTACTTGGATTTCATTTAAGTAGTTAAGGATGTATATGTGGAAAAAATATTTCTAGCTAAAGAACCCAGCTGGAAAGCAATTTTTCTAATCAGATAACTTTGAAACAGATTTTCTCTTTTCCCCTAGACAAGGGCAAGATCTGTTGCAGTTATGGATGGATTAGTGTTCATCAGAATTCAGATTTAATTTTTCAGTTGAAGAGCTTGCATGTCTTTAATTTAAGACAGGATTCTCAGTTTAATTTCATTTCTGAAGTATTAACATTCAAAGGATTCATACCATAAGTGGCATGAGTTTTATTATAGCCAAATGAAATACTTGCTTAAACAAAATATACTTGACATTTCTTCTCTTACCAAATGATCAGTATGTATGTTTTCTTTTAAAAAGCTGTTCACACTGAAAAGCCAAATTCCACTCTAATTTCTAAATATGTTGTAGAAATAACTGCCCACAATGAAGATATCATCTAGTATTTTCTGGTTAAATCTTATTTGAACACATACAGTATTATTAGACATTTTCAAAACCTGAAGTACATTTAAGGAATTGAGGATGTTATCCATTATACTGATGCCTTTTTGTTATTATTACAAAATCTGTTCCAAATTTTGGCAAAGCACTTCAGTTGCAGGGTATAATTTGAAGTTACTCCTCATTTGTGGATAGGTGGTTTTTCTTACCAATTCTGAGGTCAGGAGTGGGACAGTGGAAGGAACGATGTACTCATGTTGGCAATACCTTATCTGTCCAGCTTTGGGATTCATGTGGAATATGCCTCATCATTAAACACAGGGATAAAAGTGACTTTTATTGGACAACCATTCTCTCTATAAATAGTGTTACAGTCTTTGAAATATCCTTCCTGATGTCCATCAGAAGATGATTTGTGTCTTAAACTAGCTTTAATTATGTTTTCTGCTATTTATCTGTTTTACTCACATATAGATTTTTATAGATTATTGTTTTACATATATTAGCTTTTTAAAATGTTTTTTTTTAATTTTGCATAATTTTAAAAATTATTGTTTTTATCCCACCTTCCATAGAGCAGAGTAGAGTAGAGTAGAGTGGAGTGGAGTGGAGTGGAGTGGAGTGGAGTGGAGTGGAATGGAATGGAATGGAATAGAATAGAATAGAATAGAATAGAATAGAATAGAATAGAATAGAATAGAATAAACAGAGTTGGAAGGGACATTGGAGGTCTTCTAATCCAACCCCCTGCTTAGGCAGGAAATCCTACACTACTTCAGACAAATGGTTCTTCAATCTACTTCCAGTGTTGGAGCATTTACAACTTCTGGAGGCAAATTGTTCCACTGATTAATTGTTCTGTCAGGAAATTTCTCCTTAGTTCTAGGATGCTTCTCTCCTTGATCAGTTTCCACCCATTGCTTCTTGTCCTGCCCTCAGGTGCTTTGGAGAATAGCTTGACTCCCTCTTCTTTGGGGCAGCCCCTGAGATATTGGAAGACTGCTATCATGTCTCCCCTAATCCTTCTTTTCATCAAACTAGCCATACCCAATTCCTGCAACCCTTCTTTATATGTTTTAGCCTCCAGTCCCCTAATCATCTTTATTGCTCTTCTCTGCACTCTTTCTGGAGTCTCAACATCTTTACATCGTGGCGACCAAAACTGGATGCATTATGCTGGCTTATGTCTTTAATTAAGATTTGAGTAACTAATGCATATGTCCAATCAACCTTAAGGTGAGTCCTGTAGATCAGGCTCTGCTGCCATCAATCTTCCTTACTGATCAACTCAGCCATTGAAGCTGGAGTATGGTATGAACCAAAGAGAAAGTACAGATAATGTGCCCAAAAGAGTGAGTCCAAGTTCATGGGCATCCCATTGCTAGCAACTATAAATACCCTTCTTTGATTGTGTAATTTATTGGAATGTATAATTATTTTAAATCAAACATGGCCTTGATGCATATCAACATTTTCTTCTTGTAGGCAAGCATGTGTTTTTTTAAAAAAATCTTTTTTTTTTTTTGGCATACAGTTCTATGAAGGCAGAGCTCAGGAAACTTTCAATCGGCCACTATTCTTAGAACATCAAGGCAAAGTTGTTGGCAAATGTAAAATAATATATTAAAACTATATTTATTTTCTAGGAATGTATTATTTTCAATGTATTTTTCCTATTTAATCTAGCAAAGAAGAAAGGGGGGGAAATGGTTGTAACTTGATTATGAGTAACCTCAAGATGTAATAATGTTCCTATCCTCAGTCAAATGCTTTCTAAGTCAAGCAGATGTACATATTAAAATAAATAAGCAAGCATGTAATTTGCAAGTTAGAAAACCTAATGGAATAAGTGAGAAGAGATTTTCCTCCATAAAGAGACCTTTCCCTGTAAACTGGCTTTCCCCAGACTAACGTTCTCTAGAGGTATTGGGATAAACCCTCCTAGAATTCCCAGACAATTACAGAAATTTACATTTTAAATGACAGAAATTGTTTAAAATTGAAAAGCAGAAAGGTTATGCATTATTATTTCAGAGGGTCAGAAGGATCTAGAACGGGGGTCTACAAACTTGGCAAAACCCATGCTGCCTGGGAAATTCTGGGAGTTGAAGTCCACCAGTCTTAAAACTGCTATGTTTGAAGACCCCTGATATAGAAGTTCAACTTGGTTTGGATTTGCAGAAAAGGCTTTCCAAGTTCAATCTGTTAAAAATGTGTTTTGTAGTTTCAGGATCCTTCCAAACCAAATTGTTTCACGGGTAAAGAAGATTATAATTTGCCCTGTATAGATTTTTAGATTGGGTTCATTTCTTCCGGAACACGATTTCACTGGTGAAAATCCACAGAATAATGATCCCCTGAATGCCTCTAAGACTCTCCTCTAGATCAGTCTACTTAAAAATGCAGCAATTTCACTCCCAGAATTCCCTAGCCAGTAGGCTGGAGAATTCTGAAAGAGCTGAAATCCACACATGTTCAAGTTGTCAAAGTTGAGAAATACTTATCTAGATATCTCCTATTTCTTCTAGTTAGGAAGGGTCAAAAACTACTTTAAAAGAAAATGCTGCAGATTATTTTTTTAACGTTGCAATCAAAATGGCATATTATCATGAAAAAAAGTTAAATACGTGTAAAACTTGTGTGTTGATAGGCATTTCAACAATTATGGCCTTGAACTGGAAGCCTTGTGATGGAGTTGTTCTAGCCCCTTTTCTAGGAAACTTCAGGAACTATTAGCGAGAAAGAGCACGAACTTTTAGCTGAGACATTTCCTCACCCTTCAAAAAATAATATATCATTGGGATAGAGGTAAGTCAAGAGACTTAAACTTCTGGAAAAGTTTGGAAAACAGATATGTGGTCAACCTGAAGAAGCCTACTGCTTCATTAGGAACTGGGTGAATTAAAAGGGACTCCATATCTGGCCAGAATAGTGTTTACACTATTGGGCGAGGATATCCCCACAGAATATAATAACAAAAATTTTATGTGCAGAAATGAATAAATTAACATTTGAAATTAAAGAAAACACTGAATATTTTGAGGTATGGGATCTGTTTTATCAATGGTTAAATGAGAGAAACAGGAGTTAGAACCTTAAAAACTACAAGAGAAAAATTAATTTTAATATTAGGGTTGATCACTGTAACTTATTAATTTTAATTAATTTTGATTAGTACTAATAATTAATATGTATCAATATTATGAGGAAAAAGCACTGTTATTATAACATTATTATTAGAGAACACGATTGTTATTGCTATGATGAATATTACTCAAAAAAATTGTAACCAGACAGTTTATATGGATTTTGAACATATTGCTCTTTCTATTTATATTAATAAAAAAATAAAAATATTTTTTAAATAAAAGGGACTCCATGTTTATATTATTTTTTTCATGTTTTCTTGAACATCAACCATTCTCCTACCACCTGTTTCTTGACTTAAGGCCATAACCTGACAGCAAAATTGACCCAGACAGGTTAAGAAATGTCTGCACTTCCCATATTCACACTACTTAGCCATTCCTCTAAAATTACTCATTTCCCATTTGTGAAAGCTTTCTGCTTCTGTATATTGACAAGAATCATTTGATTAAGTTGATCATCCATGGATGTTTAAAGCCCCCAAAAGAGCCGTCTTACCTTTTTAATTTACGAGAAATTGTATTTATGTATCTGGGGTCTCAATATCAAGCTAAAAATTCTTTGGCATCTCACATATACAGCTGCCATACTTCACACAGGTGCGGCAATAAATTTCTACTCTTAATACTCAAATCTGCATTCATTAATCAGCTGACAGCAGAAATAGTAAGATAAGTTGTTTTATTGCAGAAAAGAAGGAAGTCATATATACGTGTGGGCTTCCAGTACTTTCAACAAAGCATGTTCCACACCTAAAATTTCAAGGGAGATTAATTTTTAAAGAAAACCAAAGGAGTCCCTTATGTGAGCTGAAGATTCTGTGTCCTCTTTGAGGAGCAAACCTCCTGGCAGGTAATGTTAATACCGCCAACAAGCCACAATCTTCTTGAATTGAGATACATACTTCAGTCTGACTGCAGCATTAGAAAGAGACTATACTTTTTGTATTGTATGCTGAAGATCCTGGGCACTAAAAGGCTCAGTTTTTTACCATTCTCATCCCTTGTTGTCCAATGTCCCTTTAATGACACTCTCAAATTTAAAAGAAACCAAAACACACAGCCAGGTAAAACAAGGGCCTGAAATTATTACTAAACAATCCCCTGGACTTACTACTGTTGGTCATTGGAATTAGGGGATCTGAAATATTACTAAACAATCCCCTGGACTTACTACTGTTGGTAATTGGAATTAGCGGGCCCAATGCCGGTAAGAAGAAACCCCATTAGCTGGAGTTAGTTTTGACTCCAGATGACAAGATGATTGTTAAAAAATTTCTACAATTTAAAAAAGAAATCATAGCCAAGTAAAACGATCGAGGAGGTGGAAGCATCAAAGACAGCAAGACTCAGATCTGCAAAATCCAGTCTCAAGCACTTAACAAAATAGCTGAGATTAAAACTCACTGAGAGGTTAAAGCCACCAGATGCAAAAAAAACCCCATACTGTATATACAACATAATATTAACTACTGTGAATTTACAGGCATTGATATCCTACTTCTATTTTAGATAGTTTGCTATTTGTCCTGCAGTTAAGCTAGAAACCAGATTACATCCTTGGAAAAGAAGGCTACATGGTCCTTTTTCTCCACATCTTCCCCCCACAACCATGAATACAGAGCTTCCAGATACAGTAGAACCTCGGGTCACGACCGTAATTTGTTCTGTAACTTCAGTCACAACCTGATTTGGTCGTGACCAGAACCAAGACTAACTGAGCATGCACTTACAAAAAAAATGGCATGGAAGGGGAAATCAGTGCAGAAGGGGAAATTGGCCGCGGCCATGTTTGATCACCACCCAAGTATTTGTTCATGACCAGATTCAAAAATGATGTGAATATTTTGGTCGGAACCCGATTTGGTCATGGTCAGAAGCATTCGTGACCAGAGATTCCACGGTAATATGTGGTGGAGTTTCACTTTGACGCTCTCTTCTCTTCATTAAATAGACCATCAGAACCAATATTCTGAAACAAAGATGTGCACGTTGACAACATTACGGTGTGAGACAACCCCTCCGACAACGTAGTTCATCTCCAACTTCAGGGTGGCATAGAAAGGTCCAATGATGGGCTTCACTTGTCGAACGACCCCTGTGAGTGGAGAAACAGCAACAACAGCAGCAATAATTAACATTTTTAATTGCGGTGACATGATGAGCATTGCTTTGCTTCCTTTTGCTAGATCATCCCTAAACAATGATTCTGAGAAGCTGCTGTTCCATTGCTCTGGTTTTTGGTTTATGGAAAGCTACAAACTTTTTTTCACTTTCAGGATCCATTAAGACTTCTAGGTGAGGTCATTGAGAAAACCACTTCTCTGCGTCTCTAGGAAGCAGGAAATTTACACCTGGACTGATGGTGTACCCAGTAAAAATGGTCATATATGTATAAAATGGCTCAGAAAATAGGATTTTGAGGGTATGCATGTCACCTTATTTGTATATGATTTTTTTAGATCATAGTATGTTCAAGAGTGTTTCAGCAGAAATATTCAGTAAAAAATATTTAGATATGAAACAATACTTGGATATTTTAATTGGGATAAAAATGATTGTGGTTTATGAGTAACAGGAATCTAAAGTTTATCTTATTCCCCAGTTAACTAGCATCACATAGTTAACCTTGGATGATCTCAAAAGCTAAACAAAGCTGGACTAGATTACTCCTTAAATAGGAGACCACTTGGAAATCCAAAGGGTTGCAAACTTGTGGGAAAACATCTTCCAAGAATGCAACAGGACAGAAGACTCTTCGTGTGTTGTGAAGGCAATTGAACTGACTTGACTTGAGGGAGTCTTTCTTTGCCAAATATGTTGTGGTTCGCCAGCAGCCTGTGCAGACGGCAGTGGAATCGGACAGTGGGGAAGAATGGGGACCAGTCCGGGAGTCTGGGGAGAACTCGGATGAGGGTCCTGTGTCCGATGCAGAGATGGAGCCAGGACCATCTGGGAGTTGTGTGCTGACTCCGGAGCCTTCGGAGTCTGGCAGCAGCGAGGCAGAGGAACAAGGGGAGCCTGTTCTCAGTGTATGTGTGCACAGAGCTGCCAGAAGGCGAGAGCAGCTGGGAAAAAAGGGGCGACTTGGGAGGAAGTTTTGGAGGTGATTGCCCCTCTCATAAGGTATAAAAGACATGCAACGGTAAAGAAACCTTTGTAGGAAGCAAAGTTGTTCATTCTGTTCAGATTAATCCTTGGAGCTCTGTGTAGACTTTGTACTTTGGTTTGGTTTTTTTATAGTTCATTTGGCACTTTTGTTCCTGGCAGCACTTCAAAGGAGAGAAAGGTGGGTGCTTATCCCGAGGGACTGTTTGGGACTCATTATAGGCTGGGAATGAACATAATTCCTAGTGCTGAAATAAAATAAGAGTTGTTTTAACTAAGCGTGTGCTTAATTACGGTCTCAGGAAGCCTTGGTCAGAACATAATATCCGAGCAACTTCTCAGTTTATGCTGCAGGTTTCTTAATGCTATTTTATTTCTGTGATGTCACATTTGTGATGGTCATAGCCTGACAATTCTCTCTCTCTCCTAATAAATATTTGATGGACCACTTAATTCACATTGAGAATGTGCAGAAATGAAAAGGCCAGCAGAGTGCAGGCAGAGAAAGAGCCAGGCCACTAATTTCATAATAAAGATTCCTTCCTCCCTCCCTCCCTCCCTCTCTTTCTCTCCAGTTTATTCATTCTGCTAAGCGACTATATTTACAGGACTCTTACAACTGTAAAAACAAGGAAACAATACAAGGTGAAGGTGCCTGTGACTGACATTATAGAATCATAGAATAGATTAGGGAAGAATAGAAAGGGATCTTGGAGAATCTCAACCCCAGCCCTCTGCCCAGTGCACGGATCCCCCTAACATCCCAGATAAATGGCTATCCAGTCCTTTCTTGAAAACTCCAATGATTGAGTCCCCACAACTTCAGGAAACAGGCTGTTCTATGAATTAAGACCTCTCACAGTCAGGCAAGTCCTCCTAATTTCAACTTTGGATCTCCTCCCATAAAGCTTCTATCCATTGCTTCATGTTTTACCCTCAAGTCTTAAGGAGAAAAAAAATCTGCTTCCCCGACAACCCCTCATGTTTCGGAAAACTGCTGTCCCCTCTTTCATGACATTAATACGATTATTGCTATTATTGTTGTTACTCCAAATCCAATTAATTAGGACAGCGTCCAAGCACACCATAAACAGGTCTCTGTGGTTGGGCAGAGATATCCAGAAAGTTCTGATCTCTGTGTTCCCCTTTCTCTAGCTAAACCTCTCCGTCTTCTTCCCCATCAGAACCTCTGAGTCCCACAAAAAAAAAAAAAAAAAAGGTTATCAAATTGGGTGGATCACACAGGTGGCCTGCTTTATGACTGCTATGACCTACAACCAGGAGTGGGATTCAAAAATCCCAGCAACCGGTTCGCTGCCCAGTTGCTGGGTGGGTGTGGCCATGATGGGAGTGGCCTACCAGAACTTCCAGGAGGGCCGTTTTTTGCCTTCCCAAGGGTCCGGAGGCTTCCTTTGGGTGCCTGGGAAGGCAAACATGGCCTCCTCCGGGCTCTGAAGGCCCTCCGGAAGCTGGAAACAGGCCCGTTTCTGGACTTCCGGAAGGCCAGTTTTCCCCCCTCCTAGAGCCTCCATGCAGACCCTGCACTTACCTGCATCAAAAATGGGCCATGTGAAAACTCCTGGGAGAGGAGAGGAGGGGTGGGCAGGGCTGGCTGGTCGGTTCAAATACCGGTTCGGTGAACCAGATGCAAATTTAACATCCGGTTTACCTGAACTGGTCTGAACTGGTTAGAATCCCACCCCTGCCTACAACTGTAATGGACAGAAGGCATTGCTGTCCTAAATCAAGGCCTACCTGCAGATCCTTTAAACACAGGTGTGTCTCTGGGTATGGCCAAAAAAATCAAAATGGCAGCCAAGTCGTTGTAATAGAAGTGCCACCTATTATTTCTTTTTATATGTGCTGCATTAAAAAAAAACCCTCAACAGGACAACTAAGACAAAGCCAGACAAGATATAATTGGGAGGGAGATTTTTTAAAAGCCAAGACTGTGCTTTCTATTAACTCAGGGCAACTGTATCAAAGTTTTACTTTGCAGGAATTAGTGGCCTTGCCTGAATACAGGTGGCATTAGAGAATTAGGCAGAGCTAAGCGGGGGAAAAGCCTTCTAATACTGCAAGCTTTAATAAAACCTTTTTGTACAGGCAGGAAATGAATTCTTCCCTGACAGCTGGTAACGAGAGAGAGAGAGAGAGAGAGAGAGAGATTCTAGTTGAAAATCTGTAAAAGGATTTAAAGAGAACAAGTGGAGGTTTTACTTCTGTTTACCCTAAAAATCGTCCTCTTTGGCTCACTTAGTTTGCTACACCAAACTAATATACAAGGTGGGCTGCAGTCAGCTCAACTCTTGGTCCACCCATATCCCCTTATCGTAATTTCTGGGTGCCGAGAAACCCACCCAGCCTTTGTCTTGGTCCACAGCTTCACCCTCCCCCCACCCCCGGCCTGCTTTTGCAGCCTCTAGATCCCTCAAAACAGGCCCCAAAACTTCCCATTGCTTTCTGGCAATTTCAGAAGGTGGCCTGTGGTTGACCTGCATTTCTAAATTCACACCTGGAAGAGAAGGCCCTGTTAGATAAGCCAGTTCCGGTCACCTACCGCCTCCTGGTGGTGAAAACTTACAAGGCAATAATGTTGACTCTTCAAACATCTTTAACGGGGCCCACTGCAAGTGGGTGGCCCCTGGCTTCAGCTGCTGGAGTTTTTGGGAAGCAAGGAAAGGCTTCCTCTAATCTCTGAAGTGAGCCTTCAAGCTGCAAGGAGGCCGTTGGATAAGAAGATAGTCTTTGTGTATAAACACACACACTCTCTCTCTCTCTCTCTCTCTCTCCAAAGAGCGATCAGAAAAGGGTTTGAAACACCTGCTTTCACACAGAAGCTTTCTTTTATACTGCTTACTTCTCTCTTTTATAGCTGACTTTCGGTTCCTAATTCCGATTCTGAATCGCGTGGGGGCTCCGGACTCCATTTAATACAGCTCATACAAGCCATGTGCCTTCCTATACGTGCACGCAGGGATGTTCACGGGGGATGACTAAAAAAGGAATAGCAAGATGGTAGCCGTGACGATGTCAACAAACCTCAGCTGGGTTTTCACGTGTCTTGCACATAATTGTCTCATGCTGGCTACCATCTTGATTCTTTCTTTTTTTTTTTGTCCACACCCAGTGGACATGCTGGGCAGGTGTCCGGAGCTGGACTGAGGTCTGCTGACCTGGTTCTATGTCTTTTTTTCTGCTTGGCAGATTCCCTTGGGCGTCCAGGCACAGCAAAGGGATTGGGCTCCAATTGTACATGCACTGCTGCAGGTGGGCTTTTGGACCCCCCCCCCGCCCCCACAGGCATCCCCACCTGTGTGGAAATATATTTTAGTAGTTTCACCTATTAAATGGAGTATTCTATTAAATGCCAGTGCTTTTTATTAAAAAAAATATGCTTTTTTAATTTTTGCTGGATTGATGCTTTCTGTCTTTTGAAGCATACAATTGTTTCCCGGTTAAGCTGCCCAGTTGTTTCAAGTCTTTTACTGACTCCGGTAATCCCTTGAATTGGGGTGGAGTCGGGGCCACTGAATGGAGCTGAGTGTTTACTGGCTGGATGCCCTTGCTGTCACCAATGCAGAGTTTTTTTTTCAGCAGATATTTGCACATTGTGTCCAGAGACAGAAATATCTGCCACTACCTAGGATCAAACTCATACTCCTGATTATGAGAGCTCCATCTCTAAGTCACTGCACCACTCCCAAATTTTACAGAAATGGTGTGCGTGTGTGTGTTATGTATGTCTGTGTATTATAACTTATCAATCAAGAGCCATACTCCAGTGTTATCTGCAAGCAAAGGGAGTCACATGTGATAAAAAGTGACTTGATTTTTCACAAGTTTGAATTTGGAAGTAAAGTTCTAAAGTCACATCAATAGTATGCTATGTTCACCTTCTTTTATCACCTATATTGTACCAACCGGTGTTTCTCAAAACTTTAGCAAATTTAAGACAGATGGATTTCAGTTCCCAGCATGCTAGCTAGGGAATCCTGGTTGTTGAAGTCCATGCATCTTAAAGCATGTTGGCTGGGGATTTTTAGGAGGTGAAGTCCATCTAGTGTAAAGTTCTCAGGGTTGAGAAACACTGTCTGACAGTGATAGCAATCAACCAATGGAACAGAAGTTGCCTTCAGAAGTTGTGGGAGCTTCACCACTGGAAGCTTTCAAGAAAACGCTGGACTGACATCTGTCAGAAATGGTGTAGGGTCTCCTGCTTGGGCAGGGGGTTAGACTAGATTACCTACAAGGTGCCTTCCAACTCTGTTATTCTGTTCTTCTGCTAACTCTACAGGCTATAAAGAAGGGTGGGGGGGATGTCAGTCTGTCATTGACATGACATCTTGGAAATGTGGAGAGGGGCAAGAAGATAGAGTGCCACAGGAAGATGGCAACACACAATTTACATAAAAACATGTGCTCTTATACATAGCCCCCTAAAATATGCAGTCTTTCTCCCTGCCTGAGTTTATAATGACCAACCTCTGGGTTGCCTATGTATATATTGATTGTCATTCCTGATTTCATCATTTCTAGGTTAGCAAAACCACTCTTTGCAGAAAATCATCATGCAGACCTTTAATTTCCCAACAGCTCTTCTTTAAAACCCCAAAGCTTAGAAGCCTGCATGGACATGTTTCCCTTTGGCACCAAGTAACCACTTCTGCGGGAGGAATTTTTGAAATAAATTGGAATGAGCATGACCACAGTGCCATCTTCAGGCCAAGCTGTAAGACGGGTTCTAAAATTACGCATGGATAAGGATGGTTTGTTTCCCTTGTCCAAAATTTCTCAACTTTAGCAACTCTTGTAAGATGTAATGACTTCAAGTCCCAGAAGCCATGCTGGTTAGGGAATTCTGGGAGTTGAAGTCAGTACCTCCTGGAATTGCTAAGGTTGGGAAACACTCCTTAGTGCCCATCACTCAGCATGTTTTATTTTTGTTTTGATTCTATAAGGAACTTCAAACTACACAAGGACACCTAGATTCTGCACATTGCTGGTCCTACTCTCCAATCCAATGATGGGAGGAAATCTCTAATTATTCTTTTTTATTTCTTAAGTCAGAATGCTCCAAGGTCCCTTCCAGCTCAGTTCTATTCAAGAAACCAAATTCTGTTTTTTCCCCCTTCTTCTCTCTCTTTTGCCTATTTTTTTTTAGAGCTCTACCCTCAGCTTATATGTCCCAAAGGTGCTTTTTTGTTTTCAAAACAAAACTGACAACTGTATAAAAACATAGTTCAGTTGCCTTTTGAAGGAAAAAAAAATAGCACCTTTGGGGCAAGCATGATCTAGATGACTGAGAACCTCCATAGACCCTCAGCCTGTATGCTCTTTTCAGGTGTTCGGAAGTGAAACACAATCTTTTGAGCCATGGATTCTAGTGCGACATATGCTAGCAGTTTCAAAACATGTTCTGAGGAAACTCTAGCTTTCCTCTGAAACATCTCACCCACTGGTGAAAGAGAAAAGCAAAGCCTTGTGCACTTCGCACATTGTTCACTATTACCACCCTTCCTTCTACAAGCCACAAGAATGAACTGGGGACCTTTCTGGGGTAAAGGATGAAAATGGATAGATGGGTAGATGAATGGATGGGTAGATGGATGGATGGATGGATGGAAGGATGGGTAGATGAATGGATGGATGGATGGGTGGGTGGGTGGAAGGATGGATAGATGAATGGATGGATGGAAGGATGGGTAGATGAATGGATGGATGGATGAATGGATGAATGGATGGATGGATGGATGGGTAGATGAATGGATGGATGGATGGAAGGATGGGTAGATGAATGGATGGATGGAAGGATGGATAGATGAATGGATGGGTGGGTAGGTGGGTGAATGGATGTATGGATGGATGGAAGGATGGATGGGTAGATGAATGGATGGATGGATGGATGGATGGATGGATGGATGGATGGAAGGATGGGTAGATGAATGGATGGATGGATGGATGGATGGATGGATGAATGGATGGATGGATGGATAGATGAATGGATGGGTGGGTGGGTGGGTGAATGGATGGATGGGTGGGTTGGTGGGTGGAAGGATGGATAGATGAATGGATGGATGGAAGGATGGGTAGATGAATGGATGGGTAGGTGGGTGGGTGGATGAATGAATGAATGAATGGGTGGGTGGATAGGTGGATGCTGGAATATCATATCAAAACCATTGGGTTCAATGGTAAAAGCTACAACCCAAAAGAGGAATGCCTTACCCACAGTCATGCCATCTGCATAGCGCTTGATAATGTCAAAGGAATCCCGTAAATTTCCTTCAGTTATATCAAATATGATGTCAGCCTCATTGGTCGCATATGCTGGTGTGATGGCGCGAAGGAAAATGATCTCTGAGGAGAGAGAGAATATGAGGGTCACCTGGAGACAGCAGCAGTGGGAAATAACTGCCCCAAAGACTGGTGTTATCTATTTAACCAGTTGGCAATTGGAGCAATTTCGTTAAAGAAAATAACAATAGGATAGGACATTGGCACTACTTGTTTGGGGAAAAGGAAAAGCATTTTTCCCCCAGATTGTGTTTTACTGTACTTTATTAATTTATTTGATTCTTTTTGTTTGTATTGTTTTTTATTTTTATTTTAAATAAGGTTTTACATTGTGTAAGCTACCTCTATTTGCCATGGGCAAATAGGCGGCAATATAAATTAATTAAATAAATAAAATAAATTTTCTCCCTGACTAGAATATTTGTAACTTGATCCCACAAGGAACCTAAGATTTCAGAATCTCACTCTGGAACCTAATCAGTAGCCATGCCCAGGTAAGCTAAAAGGAAGGAATATTTTAGGAATTACTTTTTTGGGTCACTGATAGGATAGAGGTTCCTTGTAATAACATAGGACTTTCCTCCATCTTGTGCTTTCTAGAGATCTTGGACTATAAAGACTTCCAATCCTAACCAGTGTGCTCAACAGTCTTATTGGGTAGGAAGGAATCCAAGATACCTAAAACCATCATCATTTCCAACATTATCACCCCATAATAGGTGATGTTCCTCTGGATAATTTTATAAAGCAAGGAAACGCATTACCTTCTGGTCTTGAAAATTCTCGGAAAGTGGGCAGAGAGATGACGGTGTGGGAAATTGTGTGAACAGGGTCTAAGATACAGTTGGCATCACTTGGTCGACAGGATTTAATGCAGCGAATGGTATCTGTTTTCTCATGTCTGATTCTAATGGAAAAGGAAAGACATACAAATTAAGACCAGAAACAAATGTCCCAGTGTATCCATGGAGTAGAGTTAATGGTTGTTGTGATGTGATCAAAACTCTATCTGGTTTTTATGTGGGTTGCAAACCATCTATTGAGCACATCTTCTGGACAGTCCTGCAAATCATCTGTATGGCAAAAATCGAAGATTGTTGATCAGCAGTGAAATTAAGATTTTGATCTCACTGTGTTATCAACTTATGGAAATGTGTTCAGGCCTTAGACTCTGATCTAGCTATTTGGGAAATTCATTCATGAAATGAATGCAGTCTGAAAAGAGTCTAGGGTACATCCTGCTACAAACTGTTTCCAACAAGGGCAGCAAATCCATAAACATTTTGGAGATGCATTTAAAGTTTTTAGTTACAGCAAAGTCTAGAACAAACCTGCCCTATGATAGCTGTAAAATAACGAACCTTCCTTTAGTAATTCTGTCATTAAGCCATGGGTAACAAGGACATTAAAGGAAGAAAAATAGGAGAAAATTGCTATTTATTTGTTAAACTTGTTTGTTGATGACATGATCCCAACTATCAAATCCTGGATATTTCTGCAAAACATAATTGCAGAGGAATCAGTTTTAGTAGTGATTTTTAGAAGTTAAACTTTAGTCAGCTAAAGTTTTTTTGCATATCCATTTCTGTACAGATCACAGAAAAAAATAGCTAATAAATTAAATATACTAGTGGCATAAAAATATTACAACATTTGGCAGCTTGATGTTGCTATAATTATTCTTGGAAACTAAACTGTCTGGAAAAAAGATATGAAAAAATGGCACAAGAAATATTTGAATACACTAGCTCAAATTGTGGTTGTTAAACTAACAGCAGTTTCAAAATTAAATTTCATATTCCAAGTTTTTTACCAACTGAAATTTCAGAGAAAAAAAGATTTTTTTAGTTTTAATGCTAAAAAAAAAAAATCAAGGGTCAACAGGAATTTTTTTTACAGGTTATATGTCAGGGAATATAAAGGATCCCTCTTTTAAACTATATCATCTCATTTGGGAAACATGACCCACTCAAACTATAAGACACATCTGATATATGGATTCAGAGAGAAGACGTACAGGAATTAGACGGAAACATATATTTGTTTTTCCAAAAGAATCATATAAAAGCAAGCAGTGTAAAGAAAATACAAGTAATCCTCAACTTAAGCGAGTTGTGTCTGATTTTGCAATGTTTTGTATCATGGTTGTTAAGGGAAACACCTCACTTGTTATGTGAATCATGTGGTTATTAAGTGAACCTGGTTTTCTCCATTGGCTTTGCTTCTTAGAAGCTGACTAAGCACGTGACCTCAGGAACCTGAAACTTATCATTGTTCTGACCCAAACCTGTTTCCAAGAGAGCAAACCCAAGACAAAGGCAGCAGCCCAACATTTTACTGTTTCGTCTATGAATTTGTTTCTTCACAGATAAAAAGCTGCTTCCAACTAATTAGCTCCAACAAGAAAAAGCCTTGCCAAGTTTTTGCAAGACTGCCAAGACCAACAGATAAGAAATAGTTTACAACACAAGAGTCTTCAAATACCAACTGTAATGTCCATGAGGCTGAGTTTCAAAACATCTTTGCCTTCTGCAAAGGTTTGTTTCATAGCTGGCTTTTATCTTCTTGAGGGAGCCTTACTCCCAAGTCGCCCGTGCTATTGTAACTGCTCTTTCCTGCGAGCAATCCTGCACACACATGTACTTGGCATAGGCTTCTCGGGAACCTCCTCATCGCTGCTGCCAGCCCCCACAATCTCTGAAGGCAGCATTCCGCTTCCTAATGGTCCTGGCCCCTCATCTGAGTCCTCGCTCTCCTCAGCCATCTGCACCTGATGTTGGCTAACCACAATGATCATCAATGCATCCTGATTGCCTAATTTTGGTCATATAATTGTTGGGAGGCTGTGACAGTTATAAATGCAAGGATTGTTATAAGTCACTTTTTTTTCTCAGTGCATTGGTAACTTTGGTCACTAACTGAATGGTTGCAAGTTGAGGATTACCTTTTTATTAAAATTATGTTTCAGGTTTGGAGGAAGATAAGTCCAAAATTGATAAAAGAACACCTCTCCTTTAGCCCTTCGATGAAGCCTCCTGATTTTAATGATCCATTTGAACGTTGTAGAGAGTATGGTTTATAATGCACAGAATAAGAATTTTGTAACAACAATTTCTTATGAAATTGTTAACTAACCAGGATAGGGTTAACCAACCCTCAGTCTCCTGGTGCAAATCCCCCCCTCCCAGTGAAAGGATGGTGATTTCCTTGCTCCCATCACCAAGGAAAGTAAGACATTGGAGGCTGGGCTTATTAAAATTCAATATATTGTGTCATAACAGCCAACATTTCACACCTGAGGTGGCAGAGGCAATACATCCCATTGACTCCTCAGAAGTAATTTACAATTAAAGCCCATTTGCACCCCAAAAATAATAAATAAAAAATATAAGAAGGGGAAGGATTGAGAATACTTTTGTGCAGGCAATCTGAAAAAGACTAAGCTAAAGCTGGATTAACCCCTTAGTTACTTACTTACTGTACTTACTTCTCTCCTTGCCTCCCAGAGGTGGTATTCAGCAGGTTCTGACCAGTTCTGGAGAACCGGTAGTGGAAATTTTGAGTAGTTCAGAGAACCCGCAAATACCATCACTGACTGCAGATTTTGCAGTATTTTTCCCCTGCCACGCCCCCCAAGCCACGCCCACAGAACTGGTAATAAAAAATATTGAATCCCACCACTGTTCCCTCCTTCCTTCTCCTCTTTCCCATCTCTTTCCTTCCTTCCTCCCTTCCATTTTTCAGCCTGTTTTTTTGGCCGTTTTCTGGGCCATTTTGGGGGTTGTTTCTGGCAGTTTTGGGGGCCTTTTCCAGCTATTTTCAGGCCATTTTGGGGCTATTTTGGGGGCATTTTTGGCTGGTTTATGGGCCATTTTCAGACTGTTTTCTGGGGCATTTTTCTCTGGAAAAATGCCCCCAAACACCCCTAAAACAGCCCAAAAAAAGCCCAGAGAGTGGCTGAAAAACGGTCAGGGCCAGGATTAGCCGGTTCAGCAAACTGGGCAGACCGGTTCATACCAGCTGAATCCCACCTCTTCTTAAAACCATTTTTCACACTTACCTTTGTAGCATCCCGATGATCATGTGATCAAAACTCAGATGCTTGGCAACTGGTTCATATTTATGACTGTTGCTGCGTCCTGGGATCCCCTTTTGCAACCTTCTGACAAGCAAAATCAATGGAGAAGCCAGATTCCCCTTAACAACCGTGGTTCTAACTTATCAGCTGCAGTGATTCACTTAACAACTGTAGCAAGAAAGGTTGCAAAATGGGGCAAAACTCACTTAGCAAAGGTCTCGCTTAACAACAGGTATTTTGGGCTCAATTGTGGGCCGTAAGTTGAGGACTTCCTGTATTGATTCTCTGGCCTTTTGCAATTTGACCTCCCCTAAGTCTGCAGTGCCATTCCCTTTCACGCAGCCCCTTGGAATTAAGTTCTGCAAGCACAGCGGTTCTTACTTCTGAAGAAACAAGCTTCAGCTTGGGTTGTGCAGCTTTCTCTTGTGTTGCCCTCTCCATATCTTTCCCCTTGGAGAAGAGAAACGGGTGAGCCCAAAATGTTGCTTCGGACCCAGTTGCCCCAATGGTAGGAAGAACAGTCAGACTATTGAGATCTCTGCGAGGAGGTGCAGATTGTTTCGATTGCTTGTTTTAAAGTTAATCAAGTGTTTATGAAACTGATGCCCACTTTTCCATCATTTTCTTGGCTATTGTCAGCCCCACAAAGTAGATCCGAGTAGGAAAACAATTCCGCGGGAAAATTAAAGTCATTTTTTAATTGAAATCGTCTATAACAACCAGTTTCTTGCAAGTGGCGATAGTGTGGTGGAATGTAATCTGGATTCCCAGGAGAAAAAGACTGCATTGCATAGGGAAAAGAGAACGTGAAGTACATAGTGTTGGATTTGAAAGAGAGCTAAGAAGAGCTCCTACCCCTCCACAAACTTCTGGACAATGAGATATTCAAGTTAGCTAAGATCAAATTATGGAATTCCAATCATCACCTTAAAAATCATGGTGTTTAGTCAAAGGTGCTTTTTCAACTGGACTTTCTGTTTGTTTTTTTTAAGAGGTTTTTGCTTCTCATCCAAGAAGCTTTTTCAGCTCTGAGGAAGGTTCTTGGATAAGAAGTGAAACGTCTTCAAAGAAAAGAAAAACAATAACTAGTTTGCCTCTTGAAAAAGCACCGTTGGATCAGCAGCAGATACAGATTAACAGAGTTGGAAGGGACCTTGTAGGTCACCTAGTCCAACTCACCGCCCAAGCAGGGAACCCAACACCAATCCAGTCTCTTCTTGAAAGCTTCCAGCGATGAAGCTCCCACCACTTCACAGTTTGAAGACAAACTGTTCCATTTGTTCATTATCAGAAAATTTCTCCTTATGTATATTCAGGTTGAATCTCTCCTTGTTCAGTTTCCATCCATTCTTCCTTGTCTGGCCTTCAGGTGCTTTAGAAAATAGCTCGACCCCCTCCTCCTCTCTGTGGCAGCCCCTCAAATATTGGAAGACCACTATCCTGTCTCCCCTTGTCCTTCTCTTCCCTAGACTAACCATGCCCTGTTCCTGCAATCGTTCTTCATATCTTTTAGTCTCCAGTCCCCAATCATAATAATCATAAAAGGGACCAAAATGCATAAGATAAACTCCTCTTATGTTGAGGCTGCCATCTTGATTTTTATTTATTTTTTGACCAGGAGATACTGCGGTTTGAAAGCGAACGTTGATGGATTTACATGCAAAACTTCCCTATGTGGAGAAAGGGCAAGTAACCTGCCACATTAAAAAGCATTGAAGGAAAACAGTGATCAGTCTGAATGAAACAAAAGGCAAACACAGCATGCAGGACCGCTGTGCCAATCCAAATTTTATTAAAAGATGCTAAAAACAACAACAAAAAAAAAAACCAAATAGCAACCGCGGAGGCCCAGGTAAAGTCAGCATGCAAGGGGTCAAAGTTGTGCGGTGACAAAGATCCACAGCTCGGCTAGGGAGGTGCTGACCCTTCCATGGCGAGAGACCTGCATCTGAATCCTCAGGAGGAGGTCTCGGGGCTCTGGAATGGGCCGCTGCAAAGTCACGACGCCCCTGTAGCCGTCCACCTTCCTCACGGTGAAAAAGCCGCCCTCGTTCCCGCTCAGGATGGCGAAGTGAAGGTGATCCCCGGAAACGACATTGGACGGGCCCATGCGGAAAATGTCAAGGGGGGCCTGGAGGTTGGTGGGGAAAGAGAGGTGGTAGGAAGTGATTCTCAAGGGCAGCTGCTGGCATTCCGTCAGGGCAGGGCAGGGCAGGCGCTCGCAACGGCTGCAAGACAAGGGGATGGGGGGGGGAGAAGAACGGGAAGGGGTTAGCAACCGTTCAGATAGAAGGAGAAAAGCCGCAGGGCCAAGGGGAGCTGGACGCCCACATCCCCGAGGCCTGGAGTGGAGCAGGCAAAGGTCCTAACCCATGCATTTCATGCAGAAGGGGGTAGCTTCAAACTGTGGTTTATGAACAGCCCAATAAACCATGCAGGCAATGTCCCCAAGCATCTGACTAGTCTTGAAAATCCTCCAGCATGCTCAGTTCATCCGGCCTGGGAAGCTAATCAGGGGTAGTGCTGGGCTGGGAGGCTCCCAGAGTAGAAAACTCGGCTGGCAAGTTGCAGAAAATTAGGGCAAACAGCTTCCCTCTTGCGGCCAAGAAAACTCCATCAATGTGTCCATAACAACATCCAGAACTGAGCTCACTTTGAGGGATGCTTAGGGTTTAGGGCCAGCTTCAAGCTTAGCCGGTTTCATTGTGGCTAGTAAATGAATAAGAGACCACCCGGAATGTAGACTTTTATCCTTCAGAACAGTGTCTCTCATGCTCAAGAACTTTAAGCTGTGTGGTCTTCAACTTAACTGGCTGGGGAATTCTCCGAGTTGAAGTCCACACAGTTCTCAAAGTTTTTGAGGTTGAGAAACTATTCTCTGCAGGATCTCCTGAGGCATTGGTGTCACTCAAGGCCTGGGGCCCAGATCTGGCCCATGGGGTACTTAGATCTGGCCCACGGGGTTGCCTTGGAAACAGCAAAGGATCGGTCCATGGTGCCTCTGCCAGAGAAAATGGAGCTCGGGTGGACCGCACTTAGGGAGGGTTTCATTTTTGCTGGCAGAGGCCTGCAGGAGGCCATCGCGGCCCAGAACAGAGCCTCAATGAGTGACAGCGAGCTGGGTACGTCCACCCATCCCAGGCACACACACACAGCTCCCCAAGGTCAAACACAATGCCAATGCTGCCCTCAATGAAATTGAGTTTACCCCTGTCCTGGGGTATGTTGTTCCAAGCCTATGTTCCAGTTTTTACTTTCTTCTATTTGATGAAGAGAATCTAATCTGTGCTTTTCAGGTTTTTCACTGTTTTTTTTTTGTTACTAAATGCTGTTAGCTGCCTTTAGCACTTGTGGAAGCTGTCCAACCTGATGGGTTCTCCATGCCATACAACCACAGAGGAAGTCCAACTGTTTGAATGAACAAAAGCTGGAGCATGTTTCCAAAAGCACCTTTATGTAGCTCCTTTCAGGGCTCAGCAGTGATATTACCCAACCACCAAGCTCAAAAAATAAGTACCAGTGGGTAGAAAGTCTGATTATTTTAGCTGAAAGTAGCAATCCCCCTCCTCCCCAAGAATCAGTATTGTTGGTTTTCTGTTGAGCCTCAGAAGGTACAAATATTTATTCTGTTATTAAGATTTTGTTAAGACCAAAGCAATACAAAATGTAAAAAAAAAATCCAGTTAAAAAAGGGAGATTTTTGCATTCATAGGTACACAAAATAAAAACTGAAGGAGAACCTTTATACCTCTAGGATTTGACCGAATATTTTATCTTGTTCTGGAGCTCATTTGTGGAATGTTTCATAAACTGGGTGTTGAAACAGTGAAACATTGTAGTGAGGAGTTGAGATATAAACGAGACCAAAAATATCTGGGGGTTTAAACACCTTTGTGTTTCACACAAGTCTCATACTCATTTCTGAATCAAATAAATTCCAGGATGAAAAGCCACTAGCAACACATATAAAGATATCATTTATCGTTCTTCTACGGGTAAGGAGATATTATTTTAAAGGATGTATTTTGCCTTATTAGAACATCATTATATTACTAACACTAGCTGTTTTTAACTTGCAAGCTGCCTTTGTTATTTATAATTTATAAAATAAAAGATGTTTAACTGATAGGCATTGCTTCCAGTGGATATAAAAGAGGCACATATATATCTGTGATAAGCCTGCCGGGAGAATTATTACTACTTTTGAATAATAATCAAATAAGTGAGGTTGGCCTCTATGCCAAATCAAAGGACATTTTTTTCACAAAATATTCCCTTTATAATTTGACAATGCTGAAGGCAGCGCAAAAAGTGGGGGAAGTGCTTTTCCCTTCTTTTTTTATATACTAAATAAACCCCCCAATATTTTCACCCATGCATTAAGGACTTCCAATTCACCCCACAGCAAAACTGCAGCTTCTGCAATAAAAAGTGAGGAAGACTGAGCAACAAATGAAGGTGAACATGCGTGTCCTAGGATAATGTTACAAGATCCAGTCTGGATCAGTCACTGGGACCAGAACTTTTGGACTTGTGCTGGAGCTCATCCTCGGGGAACTTCTCTCTGAGCTCTGGGCTGTTCTGTGTTTGGTATTTATAGGGTGGCTGTTTTGTGCTTTTTAGAAATAGATTGGGGTGTTCATGACTGGCTATTAAATCACTGTTTATCATTAATGACAGTCCATGCAATTCCAACTCAAAGAAACACACATACAAATCTGGACCAGCATAGTCTGACTTTAGAAAAGTTAGTCTAATTTGGTTCAGAGTTGAATGGGAGACCATCGGAAACCCCAAGACAGTAGGGCAGGGGTCCCCAAACTTGGCAACTTTAAAACTTGTGAATTCTGGGAGTTGAAGTCCACAAATCTTAAGGTTGTCAAGTTCGGAGACCTCTGCACTTGGGGATAGTAGGAAATCAAAAATGTATCCTCTGAAGAAGGTCATCGTGGTGCCAAAGACATCTCCATAGACAAATTCGACTTAGGGAAGACTTTATCTTTTTGATATCTATATCAATCCCTCAACAGCCTTTTCTTTCCTTGTTCCAAATTCCCAAATAGACATAATTCCGAATGTAGCTCTTAACTACCTGTTTGCAAGCAGGATGCTAACAGTGGGGGTGGAAATCTTTAAGGATAAACCTGCTGAACCAACCCCATGACAGAATTCCTAGCTAGCTGGAGAATTCTGGGAGTTGAAGTTCACACATCTTAAAGCTGCCAAAGTTATGAAATGCTTCACCGTAGTTCCTATCATCCTTCTGTTCTATGGTCCAGGGTGACCATCACAGTCTAAATTTCATCATCCGGTCTTAATTTTTGCCCTTCTGTTCCAGTGCTGAGCAAACAGGTTAAGACCAAAGAAGGTCACTTGGGCAGGCGGTTTCTTGGTCAACTTTGGTGATGCCACCATCCTCAACCTACTGAAGGGAATTCAGAGGGGCACTTACGTGTCTCCAGATTTGCGATAATTCTCTGGACACTCCAGAGAAAGGCAGCGAAATCCTCCCTGAATATTAAAGCAGGTCTGGTTGTGTGAACAGGTATGAGTTTCAGTAAGACATTCATCAATATCTATAAAAAGGGAGAACGAGACAGAAAGACCAGGAAAGAGAAGTTAGCTGGAGGGCTCTAGCAAGAAACTGTTGATGTTACAGCAGCCAACTGTGATTGGGCGATCCATTTACATTCATGTTCACAGGCTTGAAGGCTCTTCTGCATAAAAACTCCTCCATCCCCATTGGCTGAGGGCTGAGGGACCAATTTCAAACCCTGGGAGCTGTCCCCTTAAGGGGATGTTTCATCGGAAATGTAGTTAATGTCTCTTGGGAGATATCGTTCATATCAGGTGGTCACATCTGTAATCCTGATTGGTCACTGGATTGATCTCTGTTTGGGGTGAGGGAGTTTTTGGGCATTCTTAACTGGACCCCAGCATCATGCTGGAGTTTTCCTTTGCTACAACGCTACGGGATGAAGATAACTGTCTTTTCACACTACTGAGGCAACTATTAAGGCAAAGATTGGACATTAGATGAATCTCAACACAACAACAGGCATTAACTACATTTCCCATGAAGCATTCCCTTAAGGGAGCAGCTCTCATTCCTAAACTAACTATATACTGTCTAACCAGCACAATCAATTTAAAGGAAATTAATTTTAATCCAAACAGCTCAGCAGGTCTATCTTACTTCAGTTGAACAGAACTATTTGAGCTGCTTTTTCATATCTGTTTCTTGCTTGGTACAGTTAATCCTCACTTAGCGACCATTAAGCAAAATGGCTGCTAAGTGAAACCACAATCGTGCTTATGATCTCACTTTAAGCTTTCCTTTGCTTTACAAATTGGCAAATATTGTAAATGTGAGGATTGGTTGTAAGTTTGTTTTTTTTAATCATGGTCATAATTGCAAACAGTCGCCGCTTGCTAACCAAGAAATACAAGGTTTTTAATTCTACTCTGTTATTATAATATTGTGATTTCCATTTTTTTTTTGTAGTAAGACACGAATAAATAACAAGCTTGCAGGAATGAAAATATATATGCAGTTCAGGGTTGGGCTGCTGCTGTTCTCTAAGTTGGGTTGTTCTTGTGGCTGTTTCATTATTTTCCTGAAGAACATCAACAGGAACATCAAGCGCAAAATGCTGTGGAAAATAACTCCAAGTTTTACATGCTATAGTCTGGAGGACCAGACTCTGAAAGTCAGCAGACAAACTTCTGGGTTCCACTTTCTAGTCTGTCAAGATTCTCAGTCGTCCAGTTCACAGTTGTCCCAAAGGTGCTTTTTCAGGAGGAAACTGGAGTTTCTGGTTTTTTCTTTCTTTAAAGGTGTTTCGCTTCTCATTCATGAAGCTTCTTCAGCTCCCCACTGTCCTGTCAGAGCTGAAGAAGCTTCTTGGATGAGAAGCGAAACACCTTTAAAGAAAGAAAAAGCAAGAAAGTCCAGTTGCCTCCTGGAAAATTCACTTTCTAATGTGTCTTGTTCAGTTTTTCTTATTATTTCCTTTCTTATTTTCTCTCCCCATGGCACTTTATTGGGGGCTTATTTTCTCATTTTTTGTTTTTTCAGTTTTATGCTATTATTTGGAGGGCAGGAAATCTACCCAATCAGCATTTTTAAATGTTTTTTTTTCTTTCCTCAGCAGAGGGTGCTGTGGCACAAATTCCTTTCTACAGATGGAACAAAGGTGATGTGTGACAATCCCTGGGATTTGGCAACCAACCCAAAAGCAAGTGGTGTTTCTTTGGTTTTTCTTTGTTTTTTTTTAATTAAAATTGCTTTCTTTTGCAGCTTGAGTTTCTAAGACTCACCCTGACAGTTCCGTGCGTTGGGGGCCAACTTGTAACCCGAAGCGGGGCAGGTGCACTGAAAACTGCCTGCCACGTTGATGCACCGATAAGCACAGATGTGGCCCCCCGTTGGTAACGCACACTCATCAATATCTGAAAATCAGAAATAGAAAGAAGTCTTAATGGTAGATCCCAGTGGTGGGTCTTAAGCCACCCAGTAATAGAGGTCTTGACTTCCAGAAATGGCCCTTTCCCCCAATCTGGCATCCTCCAATCATTTTGAATCACAGTTCCCAAAATTTTATTCACCTGAAAACCAGGTTAAAAAGAAAGTAGACCAGGAATACAAAACCCACATTGGATGAAATCCTGAAAATTTCTGAATACTCTTATTTCGCCCAATTCCTGTGCTCCTGTGCTGGGTTTAACAACATAACACTTAAGGGTTGGTTAGTCATAGCATTTGTATGTATTTCTTTATCTATTTTGTGGTTTAGTGTATTATGTGAATCTATCACCTTCCCTTCGTGCTGTTAGAAATTCCATTTTTTTCTTGTGTTCCTCTGCAAAAAAATGTTTTTACCCTTAAACTGTTCATATTGTTTCTTATGCTTCATTTAAAGGACCCAAAACTTTGTACACTTCCATACCTAGGAAAACTGGTCCAACTTAATGGGCTGGTTTGCAATATATACCTTTTTCTAATTTTACTGTTATATTTTTGGTTGTATCTCATACCGTCTGGTTGTTCTGTTTACCCCATTATATCAATGTTTCTGAAACCTTGGCAACTTTAAGGTGTGCGGACTTCAACTCCCAGAATTTCCCAGAGCGCTTAGCTGGTTGGCGAATTCTGCGACTTGATGCCCACACATCTTCAGAAATGCTGCATGAATGAAATTATAAGTTCAAATAGAGCCCACTGTAAATTTCTGAATGGGACTGGAAGATCTATCGCAGTGGTGGTTAACCTTTTTGGCACCGAATGCAGAAACGGGAGCACCTGCGCGCCAAAAAGGAACCGAGTGCTAAAACACACATGCATGTATGGGCCAGAAGCCAGAAGAGCAGCTCCTGGCGTGTGCATGTACACTGGCCACCTGGTCTTCTGGCTTCTAATGTGCATGCACATGCGAAGACCAGCTGGCCGGCCAGTTTCTAACATGCATGCACACACTGATCAGTCTTTGTGCACTCATGCGTGGTGGCCTTCAAGGATTTGAGAGGGCCTGAAGGGAGACGGGACCACCGGGCAGGGAGAGACTTCCAGGTCCCCCAAAAAACCTCGAGAAAGGAGAGACAACTGACCCACCGAGGACACAGCTGAGCACCTGGTAGGTCCAAGAAAGATGGTGAGATTCCTCCACAGGGAGGCATCCAAAGACAGGCCGCTGGGATTTTTTTTTTCCCAGTAGCATTGTAAACTTCAAATGCCCGCTAAATGGATGCTTGTCTTCGGGTGCATATGCACGTTAGAAACCAGAAGACCAGGTGGCCGGCCAGTTTCTAACGTGCATGTGCGCACTGGCCAGTGGGTCTTTGCACCTGCACGCATGTTAGAATCCAGAACACCAGGTAGCCAGTGCACATATGCCTGCCGGAAACTGGTCTTCCGGTTTCCAGCGCTCCAGCATGCACAAAGACCAGCTGGCCGGCACACATCACAGCAATGGCCAATGGCTGTCTCTGTGGTGGCTCTGTGTGCCACTTCTGGCATGAATGCCATAGGTTCGCCATCATGGATCTATTGTATCTTCAGATGATCAATGAAGCTATACCATTGGTCCCTGCATAGTTGGCCAGTAATATGTACACTATGTGTAAATAAATGCTAAGGACAAGATTGTACTTTTGGGTGGAACTGTACATGGAATTCTATTACCATGCAAATTTTCCTGAGGAGCAATGAGCTCTTAGAGAGCAGATGCCAATCACAATCACTCTATTGAGCCAGACAGGTTGATGGTCTGAAATCACTGTCTAAACCTTGACGTGAAAAGGGCAGGCGATGATGGCCACTCACCTTCACAGGTGACCCCGTCTATGTCGCTGAGCTGGTAGCCGCGACGGCAATAGCACTGGTAGGAGCCGTAGACATTGGCACACTCCTGACTGCAGGGGCTGCTTTCGCACTCATTTAAGTCTGAAATCCATAAATATGTATCAATACCAAACAAGATTCCTTCCATTCATACCCCGCTTTGCTCCAAGGGCTGCCCTCACCCATGCACGAACCCTGCAAATATTGGTTTGAATCTAGTTTGGTCCTCACCTGAGCTTCCAATTTCTACACTCACAGGGTATGTTTAAAATACCATAGCTTCTTTTTGATGGGTTAGCTTCCTTCAACCCTAAGATTGGAAAGTCCAATGAAAGACCAGTCTCTCTTGGACACACCCAAGGAAGGAGTATCCATCACCACTGTTGAACTGATCTTGGGAATTTTTTTCCTGATACACAGGGCTGGGCTGCTGGGGGCTTGCAGGGGTTTGCGAGAGCCCCTAGCTAAGATTCTGCACAGTTCAAAGAACCCCCAAGTCCCACTCCTGGGCTGGCCCCACCCAGCCCCTCTCAGGAGTCCCAACGCAACCCGTTTTAGATGCAGGTAAGTGCAGGGCCCCCGTGGAGGCTCAGGGAGAACGAAAAATGGGCCTCCCAGAAGTTCTGGAAGGCCGGAAACGGGCCTATTTCCAGCTTCCGGGGAGGCCATTTTTGCCCTCCTGGAGGCTCGAGGAAAGCCTCCGGAGCCTGGGGGAGGGGGGAAGCACCCCCTCCCATCGTGGTGCAGGAGTCCGACATGGCCCCGCCCACCCAGCAACCAGGCAGAGAACCTTTTGCTAAAAATTTTGAAGCCCACCCTTGCTGATACATAATCAGAACCTGCCTTTCTGTAACTTAAATGTCCATTACAGGTAGTCCTTGACTTAAAACGTTGCCTAGCGACTATTTCAAGTTTTGATGAACTTGCCAAAAGGTGCCTGGATTCAAAGTTGTGATGTCTGGATTACCACCACGGCTGCCCGTCACATGACTACCAATTTTGGGTAGTCAGCAATTCCCCCCTATTTATGGCCTTTTGCAGCATCCCAGAGTCATGTGTGACCATGAATTACCTTTTTGTCACAAAGTGGCATTTCCTTTCAGTTTCTGGCAAGGAGTGCCCATAGAAAACCGTGAGTTTGCTTAAAGACTGCCGCAAAAACGGCTGTAAAATCACATGTGTTCATGCGATAACCTGCTGAATGACCGACAAGACTAATGATTATACCTGAGGGCTCAATTACAGTTCTAAGTCAAGCGCTGCCTGTGTAGCACACCCTGCACTTCAGGATAAGATAGAATAGACACATAAACAGAGACAGAGCTTCAATCATAGCCGCCATCCTGACTTCTTCACCACCTTCATGCAGGGATCCCTTTCAGCTATCGGAAGAGGCCTTTAATGTCCTGTCTCACTTGTCTCCTCTCAAGGCTAAACCCACTCAACTCTTTCAGCCGCTCTTCATACAACATGTCTCGAGTTCCCCAAAGTCTTCTTTGTCATTCTTCCCTTCGCCTCTCCCAATTTTTCTGAATCCATTGGAAAGTTTGGTGCCCAGATGAGACACAGCACTCAATATGGGATCTAACTAAAGTAGATTTGAGTTGAACGATTACTTCCTGGAATTCAGAAAGGATTCTTCTGCTCATACAGCCTACAAGTGCACTGGCCTTCTTTGTAGCCGCATAACCCAACTGGCGCATACAGCTAATGTGTTTTCTTTCTCCCTCCCTCCCTCTCTCTCACCCTCCTTCTCTCTCTCATTGAGTCATAGCACCTTACCTTCACAAGACCTCCCGTCTGAAGAAAGTTTGAATCCCATTGTACAGCTGCAATAATATGACCCAGGCGTATTTTCACATTTATGAGCACAGAGGCGACCAGGGTATCGACGACATTCATTAACATCTGAGGAGATGAATAAGCCATGGTCAACTGTTTTGTGCCTAGGTAGCAAAACCGGGTGTCCTCAAACATTAATTTATCCATCTCATCTGAACCATGATGTTACATTGACTTAACTCCCACTTATACACAATGTGCACTCTTCAAAGGGCAGCACGGTGTTGGCCCCACAAATATGAAAATAATATGGGATAATTCTGAAAAGAGGCTTTTGTGAGGCAGGAGGTGGTTATAACAGAGCAAAAAAATATGGCTCCTTGTCTATTTTCCAGCCAATTCTCATAGGGACAAATAAGACACTCATAATAAGATGGTATCTCCAGACAGATGCACATAGCCCAGGGCTGTCGATCTCGCGGCCCTTAGGCCAGATGCATCACACACTGGCCACGCCCATGCCCGGTTTAGCGAAGGGGGAAAAAGTCCTGATACGTCACGTGACGACGCCATTATGATGCAAGTTTGACACCCCTGATATAGCTTGATTCCTACCATGTCCCAAGGCAAAAATAACCCTATGTCAACTCAAAAATATTTCTCTGGTCTTTTAGAGTTGTCAGCAGAAAGGGAGTAGGGAAAGTAATGTATTCCTTAAATACTTTCATAGGTAATTGCTAGGCAGCCTAAGCTTCTGGCGCTCAAGATTACAGGAGAGCATGATTGATGACTCTTGGCTATGGATGTGTCCCATTGGAGAGTATACATCCAGGGGGTGTGGGGAAGACCAGGGTCAAGGGTGTGATGAATGATGTGTCTCAGAGTCAGCTGCACCCAGGTAATGCCAGCATGTTCACTCCTAATAAATGATGTTTTTAAAAACTCTGAGACATGTGGCTAGAGTCTCATGATTTGAATAGGGATGGATGCTGGAGCCCTGACACCCTACCTGGATAATCCAACACCTTGAAACACAACCACTGGATACAGCAAAGTTGACAACCAAATACCCATTTACGGGCTTTCAGTTGGTTTTTTTCCATGCTTGATGAAACTCACAGGTGACCCCTGGCTCTTACCTGTGCAAGTTCTGCTGATCCCATCAAAGTAGTAGCCCAGCTGGCACTGACAACGATAGCTTCCAGGGGAATTAATGCAGGTGTGACCCTTCCCACAAGGTTGGGAGGTTCCTGAACACTCGTCTATATCTTGGGGAAGGGAAGAGAAAGGTTGGAAAAGTCATGGGAGAGGAAGGTCATCAAGCTTCATCAACAACGTATACGAATTTGGATGATGATCATGATGACAACGACGACGACGCTACAAAGAAAAGCAAAACCAACTGGAAGGGAGGGAAACCAAGTCTAATTGTAATAACCTGTGGCTAATTCTGCACGGCCTTCATAGTTTTCATTCTTTTCAGCCCGGTGGAATGCTAGAAAGAAAGTACAGGTAGTCCTCGGCTTACAACAGTTCATTTAGTGGCTATTCGAAGTTACAACAGCTGTGAAAAAAAAAGTGACTTATCGTTTTTAACACACACAAACATTGTGGCATCCCCAATTAGGGCGTGTCTAATTTTTCAACTTTCACTTTCCAAACATTAGGGGTGCTCAAAAGTTGTGACATGCCTTGGGGGATGGTAAAGGTATTTTGGTTACTTCAGTATAATTTAGATGTGCTTGGTAAGGAACTAAATAAATATCATAACTTTTAAACATTTTGTTTGATTCATTTGGTCACACGATCAAAATTCAGATCCTTGGCAACTGACTCGTATTTATGATGGTGGCAATGTCCAGAGATCATACGCAGGGGTGGGCTTCGCACTTCTTAGCAAGGGGCTCCCTGCCCTAATGATTGCCTGGGTGGGTGTAGCTGGGTGGGGGTGGCCAACTCGACATCGCTTCTTTGCCCTAATTATCTCAAAAAAAATATGCTTATTATTTTGTGCATTTAATACTTAAAGAAAAGACTGGGTGAAACCAGACTTAATAGCAATGACTGTGAAAGGGATCTTGGAGTCTTAGTGGAGTTTCTGGTGATTTACATGATTCTTATTATTTGGGAATTAATCCCCTCGGAGGCTAGTGGCTATGTTATCTGATTTTCTCAATGGCTCTCCCTGACAAGTGCTGAGTGGATTGTTCATCTAGCTTGCAACACTTTTACGGGGTGTGAAATGCTCTTGGCTGAACGCCTAGAAGTTCGATTAAGCCTATTAAGAGCTTTCCCTTGCTGCTTGTCTTTCTGAGGTTATTGGGGGCTCTTTGAGCCCCGCAGAGTCTCAGCTAGGGGCTCTCTCGAGCACCTGCGAGCCCCCAGCAGCCCACCCTTAATCATGTGACTCCTTTTGCAATCTTTTGCCAAGCAAAGTCAATTGGGAAGACAGATTCACTTAACAACCGCGTTACTAATTGAACAATTGCAGTGATTCACTTAACAGCTGTGAATATACTTCCTAGTACCTCTAGAACAGGGGTCTCCAACCTTGGGAACCTTAAGACTTGTGAACTTCAACTCCCAGAGTTCCTCAGCCAGCAAAGCAAAGCTGGCTGAGGAATTCTGGGAGTTGAAGTCCACAAGTCTTAAAGTTGCTAAGGCTGGAGACCCCTGTTCTAGAAGAAAGCCATGTTAGAGGTACTAGAAACAACCTTCTTAAGAGTAACACATTTACAAACATTTGCAAATTTACAAAACCCTTGAAACATTGTTTTTTAGTTTTGAAAAGTGCTCTTTCTGATTCGCACATCTCCTTTTTAATAACCACAGAATTGAATTTAGGTATCAGCATCCCAGTGCCATTATTTACATGAGAGAGGAAAAAGATTTAGCTTTTAAATTAAAGTTACCCTTATCTTTTATTCTAGCAGAGTGATTAAATTGGTTGTAGAATGAATAAAAATGAAGCAGAATTCTAAATAGAATGTAAATACGGTAGTAATACCTAAAGTGCTCACCATACAGTACATTACCATCAATAATGAAGTATTTAATCTAGCCCAACAGAGAAGTCGACTTAAAGTATGAATATTGATTTGTTTTCACTTAGAAAGCAACGGGGGTCAGGATAAAGAATTCCTGACCCCTTTTCCAGAAAAATCATGAAGTTTCATCAGAGATATGAAAAAAAGGAGCATCACCAAAAAATAGTCAATATATTCTTAAGACAGCTGTTTGTGTTTTGGCCATGGAATGTGACACGATGTGAGTAGAAAATCAGACAGGTGGATTAAAATCACACATTATACTGCAAGTTCAGGAAAATTTCTGCTGACATGGTCAATATTCACTTGTCTGTAAGCTCAGTTTCTTAAGTTAAAGCCAGCAGGACTTTTCTGGAGCAGAGAGAGCTCAGGGGTTTGGAGAGAGACCATAAAAAGCAGGAATGCTTCTACAATTAAGCTTTTTGTGGTCAGATTTTCCTGGATTTCCTTCTGAAATATTCAGATATTTCATTTAACCTCCTTGGGGAAGCTAACCTCGTGAGCCCACAACTCAAATATTACACCACTTCCTGGATTCTTAAAAAAAAAATCTTGGAGGTTTTAGATCACTTCTAACTTCAGATGGAATGTTTGGAGCTCACCAGAGAAACGGCTCATCAGAGGAACAGAAGGAAAAATGACCAACAGGAAAATATTAAAGCTTCAAGGAATGTAAAGTTAAGAATTTCATTGCATAATACGTAATTCATATGAGGCTCCGTAATGAAATTACAGTGGTTCAGAATCCGTTCTTTTTCTGTTTTCATAATTTCCAAACATCCCAAGGGAGACGTGCCTTCCCTGTCAGATGGTCCCAGTTCCAACTCCTCCTTCTCCTCTGAACCAAGCTCTGATGAGGCCATGACACTGAACTCTGAGGCATAGTAAGGGCCAAAGGAAAGTCCTCTCATTCCCAATCAAAACCAACTGGTACCTACCCCATAGAGAGAGAAAAAAAGAACAAGTCCAATACTGTGCCACTCACCCCCAAACCATGAAACCAATTCAGAACCATGCCATGGCTGATGCCTTCAATGAAATCGAGTTTGACACCCCTGCCCTAAACCTTCCTCTCAGCATAGTTGTGAACTGAGGGATGTCAACGGAAGAGAAATAGAAGCAAAACATCAGAATAAATGTGGATGGGTGGGGATGAAATATGGCTATCTCGGTACTGACCAACACATCTGGTCTTCTCTTCATTCAAGCGGTAGCCTCTTCCACAGTTTGGGACATTCCTATGGCAAGCAAAGGAGCCGTCTGTGTTGATGCAGGCCTGCCCAGCAGGACAAGGAGCAGCAAGAGTCAAACATTCATTAATATCTGCAAAAAATACAGCCATGTGTTTAAAAGGAAAAGGTGAGACCGAAGAAAAGAAAAAAAAAAAAGAAAGAAAGAAAGAAAGAAAGAAAGAAAGAAAGAAAGAAAGAAA